TATACGCATATTTGATCAGATGTATTTCCTTATTCAATCAATAAGTTATCAGTAATGTCACGGTCATTACTATAGAGCCTGCCGACACCTTCCGTTTTAATCCTTCCCAAATTATCGAAAAGTTATGTTGTTTCACACTTCTTCAGCATGAAGAAATATATTGTAAGCCATCGACTCCATATATAGTTATGTGGATGGCTGTCGCGATTAAGAACATTCGCAACAGATCTAGGTCATTATTATAGATGTAAACGTCTTAGCTGGAGCTTAAAAAAGATACACTCACCTTAATTAAAAAAATGGGGCGCCTCAACTGATACTGACACATTAAAAGGCCAATTCAATTCAATAACCCTAAAATTAAAAACGATAATGTCTGCATCTGCACCGTCTAAGAGATCTAGATGGATCTCAACTTGAGCTAAAACACTTGAAGTACAACTCGTTTTAGTAGGAAGTAGCACGTCTGAAATGGAACTAATACATTAAAAGACTAACTCGTTATTGTAGGAAGTGGGACGTCACAACTGAAGCTAAACATACGAGACGAACTGATCATGGCAGGGTTTCACGCATCTGAGCTGGAGCCAAAACATTAAAAGACGCACTCATTACGATTCATTCACATTATTTCATGGTATAATCGGCCGTAGCAAGTATACTTTCAGCGACAGCTACAGCAGCATCCCGGCATCAACATCAGCACAACGCCCGACTCGCCAACAGCGTTCAACCTTCACCACTTAAGTCTCCATTTAAAACCTCCGACCCTACCAAAATCCAACAAAGTCATGCCCCCATTCTTCAAATAAATAAAAGCAACAATACCCTTACCACATTCAATAGAAATCTATGCTAAAAGCAGAGTCGATTGTACGTTTTCGACTATATCAGGAGCATGTGTTTATGAACCACTCGAGAATAGTGATGAGACCAGGTGTTCGCTAAAAGGTGAGCGTATCCTGCACCACCGGTGGCACCCGTCACAAACACATGTAAAGGCAAGTTAATTGTTCACCTGAAACAACACGGGAACATACCCCATGCAGCCACCATTGCTGACGCCATGCAGTCGAGCCCTGACGTTCATTCAGTTTGGACCACACTCTATGAAGATACATACTTCAATGAACTCACACAGATTGAAAGTCCATTCTTAAGTAATCCTTAAAGGTAGCCTTGAAGGAAAGAACTGGAACCTTCCTCAACACATTACTTATATTATCTGGCCTATTATCTAACACACCCCACCCCCGTCCCCAACTCTAAAACTCTTAAACTTAGCAAGGGGATCAAAACATTAATATAAAATAGCATCTAACTTAAAAATTTAAAAATTCATATTCAAAATTATAAATCTATATGGACATAAACCCCTTCACACTATAAGTAGTACTAGATGGCACATCTTTTTCTTACTAGACCCATTTAGACAAAATAAGTTCATGAATTCGCAGGGACATTGCACATCTAATCTCTGCAACTAAACACCACAGTGATCAATGTACTAACTGCAAAACAACCGATGACCTTGACAACTGATATTTTTATAACGATCAGTAACTAACTTCTTTTCGAGCTCTATATTTCAAGATATAAAAATTATCTAGCTTTACTCTTCAGGCCATTTAATGCATGGACAGTATTCTCGGCAATTTCAAATTTCATTATAATATCTAGCAAATATCTTAGATTAATCTTTGACAAAGCAAAATTCCAAACAAACCAATTGCCATATATACTGAATCTAAATTCGTTTTTTTTTTAAATCTGTGAATGCATTTAGATGTCGGTAAATGGCTGCAGGGGTTGATAAACATTCCGAAGGAAAAAATGACACCTAACCTCACCCCTCCCTATTTAGACACTGGTACTAAGTTTGCGGTTGCTTACAGCAAACCAAACAACTACCCTCGTCGGTGTAAGACTTCTGAATCGACGGAGCTAAACTCGTTTATATTGCAATTGATACCAAGTTTTATTGATATTAAAACCAACAGTTTTCAGGTTTCACAAAGAAAACAGCATGTACTGATGTTACTACACCTTTCATAGTGGAGCTGGACAAGATAGAGATGCAATGAACGGCTAAAACAAAATTGTGAAAATTTATTGAAAAAAATAATTCGGTGTGTGTAGTGTGCAAGCGCGGGTTCGAATACCGACATAGGTACAATGTGTGAAGCCCATTTCTGGTGTCCCCCGCCGTGATATTGCTGGAATATTGCTAAAAGCGGCATAAAACCATACACATTCATTCATTCATTCATTCATTATCTAAAAAATACTGATAAATGATATACTACTTGTTCGTACGGGTGGAGTTTGGAAATGGTACATTAACACTGCATAATTGTGTTGAGGAAGCCGTTATGACGGCAACGAAACTGTTTTCTCTTGTTGTATGGAGAGACCATGTTAAAACGTTCGATCCTGTGACGAAAATGCGGGTCTTGTACCCAAATTGGGTCAAATGTGTAAAACCCATCCTTGGTCTTCCCGTCGTAATGCGGTTGAAATATAATTATAATTGTGTAATTGGTTAAGTTGAAAACACCAACAACATAGGTGTATGAACATAAACAGAATTTAGAATCAATATGTTTTATGTACATGCTGTATTCTTACATTAAATAATATGCTTCATTTACTGACGACATGGGACAATCTTCCCCAGCCCCCTCCACACACACACACACACGCACACGCGCGCGTGCACACACACACAGTGACAGAGAAACGCTCTTACCGTCCTGGTGCTGTTTTGTATCGAATATAACATCACATCATCTGCGAATCGTTACAGCCACAGCGATTAGTGGTTTATATAATTATATGTTCACCAACAGATTGTTTAATTACATATTGCTGCACTTACCATGTCGTTTTGTTCAACGTCCTCTCCAGAGTGAAAACATACGGCAGGGCAGGAAATCAAGCTGAAAATGTTTCGTCGTGAAAAGTCTTCATAATGCACATGACATACCAAAGTTTTGGACGCAGCGTTCAAAGAAGCGCGTGAATAATATAAACATGAGAAATAGGGGTCTAAGCCCATTGTTATCTCGATTTTAAGTGAATTGTTGAAATTAATTTAACATACACCGGTGCATTTGATTAAGTAAGCGTCGTCTGCTTCGATCCACAGCGTCTGAATTACGCGCAGGAAAAACTCGTGCAACGGAAGTGTTTCCCGATTGGCTAAACTCGTAACCATGACACCACGTGACTATTCTGGTAAACACCTGCATGAAATATACAACACTTCTAACCTGGTTTGGCATTTGTTTATATAAATAATCTTAACCGACAAAGTCATTGGCGGTGGGGTTTGTTTGGCGAGGTTGAAGCGTTGATTCGTCACACTAATTCACCACATGGGTACACCATGTAGAGCCGATTTTGACGCCCCTTTCCATAATATGGCTTGGATTTTGTTCTAAATTTCTCAAATGATTTTGTAATAATAAATGGTAAATATTAGCAGTATTCATCATAATAGAATGGAGATGTAATACAGTGGATGGTCGATCATGAGATGCCAAGCTCCTTAACATTTTAATGCATTTAAATCATAATGATGATTATGAAAGAAATATTATCCAAGAATTATGAATACTATGTATAAAGTACCACACGCGCCAAAACATATTCACTGAGGGTCAAATGAGAATATACCGAGTTTGTTTGTTATGTAATGGAAAAATTATTGAAAGAACTGTTGTTAAATTTGATCATGTCTATTCAACCATCGTGGGGGTTGGGTTAGCCTTGCATGGCCGTTAAAGCGTTTGGTCGTCACGCCGAATGCCTGGGTTCGATTCCCCACATGGGTACAACCCGTGGATTGCCGTAAAAGGCGACTATGCTCACTCAGAAGATATCGCGAAAAGGGGAAACAAGCTGGAGTTTCGGAAAGGAGCTAGGATTAATAATAGGATTCATAATGATATATGCAAATATATTACGACAAGCACAAAGTTCTGTGGCTCACCTGTTTTTTCTGGAATATTTTCAAAATAATACAATTATTTATAAACAATATTACCACGAAAATTCCAACCTATTAACAGATGTTTCAATACAACAAAACAACATGCATGTTCAAGAGAAAGCAATACTAGTATTATAAGTAAAAACTCTGAGGTCATGATGATGCATTAAAAATAACTAATAAAAAATCTTAATTAAGTAATAGTAAATAATGTCATACTCGATATGGTTTACATGGCAACGATGTTTAGAATCGGATCAGAATTCATGTATCCAAATATGTAGAGACACCAGATTTTACCGGGGGCAAAATATTGCACCCTGTACGCATAACAATTATGAATGGACGCAAATGATATTCATTTGACACACAGGGGTATGGATGCTGGGATGATTAAATTGAAACTATAAGTTTGATTTGTATGATATTTCTGTTTCAATGTTCGGGCTTTCCATGTCAGATTTCTTTACTCAGTTTATTAAATTCCGTTTCAAACAAGAAAATCCCTTTCCGAAAGAACCAAAAGGACTCACGCATAATTTGTATATTTATTTTTGCTGTTGGTACAATGGTCACGAATATATTCCCGGGACCCCCAAAATTCATTACCGGCGGCCTCTACATAATCGAGTCTGGACCAGACAATCCATTGATCGACATCATGAGCATCGCTCCATGCCAGATAATCCAGTGATCGATGTTGTGATCACGCCGTCGAAGTATTCGAGTCTGATCACCCGATCCACTAAGTCGACTGTACGACCACCCCATGAGGGTGAACATGACAGTTAAAAAAAGCACCACGCAGCCACTCACAGTGCACCTTACATACGTCGTTTGGGTTGTTGTCTGTTATCGGCTGTGCTCCGTCTCTACGCCTTGCACATAATCGCAGAGCCTATGCAGCCTGTAACCATATTAACATCGACGTGCAATTCCATCGCTACAGTTTAGAAATACTACATAAAAAACATCAACATGTATTCATATACAATTAAATTTTGTAAAGTTGGAATGAACTGTTACGTATTCTTTCAAGAGTTGCCAATATAAAAAAAACATCATTCGAAACAAATCCGGGCCGCTTGGGCATGACCTTCACCTCTCCTTTCTCGTCCAGCAGCGCTCCGTCAGTCCAAGCGTAAGGCGTTTTATACATATTGTTTGGCTATGCACTATGATGTTCTTCTTATTGTTGCCTAACTGTTTTTAGTTTTGATTTATTAAATCGCATAATAGTATCCTCAATCTCATTGTTAATCTCATTTCACCATGTCTACAGATTTACTGTAGCCCACGTGCTGTGCCCACGTGTCGCCGTCCACCCGCGGCAATCAGGCATACTAATTTAGCTAATTTTGCCCGTCCGATCTCATAAATCGCCAAGGAATTTGTAGCCGTACACTAATTTATATGTGTATTAACATACTGGAATTGATTCAGTCCAAATCATGTGCAAAGTGAAGTACAGTAAGGCATATTTCATTCAAAATATGTTTGCACATTCTGCATGTTGATAACTCGTTGAGTATGCTTGTTGCGTCTCATTTGAAACAGTCATTGTCCTAATTTTATTTCTTAATTATGTATTTGGTGTTTCAAGAATATGTAGATCTACCATATTTTTGCTCATGATAAAATTTGCCTTGATAATCATCTTTCATAATTTGTCAACATCATGTTCAATTATTCATGCAAGTTATATAACGAACGACAATAAAAGAAATATTTATAATACTGAATGATACTGAAAGTACAGTCGGGCCCTGGTATCTTGCAGCAGACTTCTAATTATCTGCATGTTTGATATAGCAAGACATGGAAAGAGATACACATCAAGAAACAGAATCATAAATCCGTAGCAAGATGCTTCTGCATTGTGTGTACTGTCCACTTCTTTTTGCGTGTCAGATTAGATAAATTGATCCAGTTATCCTCCCTGAGCTTGGCCTGGATCCTTCTCGGAATTGCTCACAATCACTTATCTCCGACATCTTGCAAAAGTGTGATGTTATGTTTAGAGTTCTTTTTTTTTGTCTTACAAAAACAACAAAGTGATATTCTTGGCTCTTGTTAAGTACAGTCAAATCTCATTAATCCGACACTCGTTAATCCAACAAACAGCTTTATCCGACACTAATGATAGGAACCGATTTAATCAATGCTATTTAGCCCCTCAATCCGACAGTCTCGCACTCTGACTCCAACACCTAATTTGCAACGAATTACTGAAATCACTCATTAAAAGTCTCGTTAATCCGACACAGTGATCAGCGTCACCGATCCAGGAAATATGACCTACTTCTAGCACAAATTTGTTAGCAACTGTGAGCTGTTACTAGTAGGTACAAAGACGGTCACTTCGTCTCTGGAGACTAACATTTACTGCTACTACTAGCTAACGGCAAAGGAGCATGTCTTTGATTTTCATTGGTCAACGAGTCTACATAGACGATATGCAAGCCGGGCTGTCTCAACAGAAAATGAAAAGATTACCGCAGAGCAACTTCAGCCTGTAACCAGCTATCTTTCTAGATGTAGAAGTAGCACTTGAAATATACTGTGGTTGTTAAATAATTACAAATAGAATCTACATTATCATGAAGAAAATTATACGGTAACCATTGATCATTACATCACCAGCTGGTCACATGACCTCGTCATGCATCATCATCCACCACCATTTTGTGTAAGGTCACGTCATCTGTTCCACTCAACTTAGGCCTAGTTTAGGCTAGTTAGTTCTCTAAATAGAGCACAACAAACGTGGGTGTTTTCACAACAATAAATACTCTTCAATATTCCTGCCATTTCCACAAATGGGAACGTAATGTCGTGCATGTTTTCTTCAGGTAGCCTTGCATTCTTTGCGTCCCTAGAAACAACGTTGACGTGCACAAGCAAAGTCACGCATCATAAATGCCGTTTATTCTAAAAGAAAGAGTGATTTACCGCTAAGGTATGGCCTACTACCTATCGTATATTGTATTGGTATCAAGCGCCCATGTTTTAAGGTGAATCACTTGCGTCCAAAGACGATTGGGTCACGTTCCTTTTCATACTCGCTCGTTTCTTTTGGTCCAACTGGTAGTAATTACTAGTTATTACTGCTTACATAATATATATATATCGTATTTCGTTTACATTTCAGCAGTATGCATCTGAGGCAGAAAATTTATTCAAGCTCTGAAGTCCCAAACAACTGAAAATGCTCCAAAACACCATCACGTGACCCTGGTATTCTCAAAGTGCTGGTGAAAGTGATTGTTTTGTAAATGTTTGTTGATAGCAGAGAGGCTGATAGACTTTATAACAAGTCATGATCAACATTCCCTAACTGTTAGTTAATTACACTGGTCTACATCTGTATTGTTTCTTTGCAACTTCTGTCAACAAACTCAAATTTATCCATTTATACCTGAATAATTGTGTTGTTATAAGATTATGACTAGGCCTACAGCATCTAACTAACTGTAATCCGCTGGTAACTGAATGTCTGAAGACAAAATACCATTTTATTGATGAATGTATCTCCATTTAACTCATACAGTTTAGTGTAGGGTGTAATGTTTGAATGTTTTTGTTGACAGTAGCAGACACTACATCTGTCTATGAGCAATGGACAGAACTGAGAATACCTTATCATGAACAGTAGTGTGCACTGCTGGCAACATCCTGTTTTTGTAAGTATAATTGAATTCCCAATTATAATGTCATTGTACACACAAAAACAACATAGTGTAGTTTTTAAATAGTGATCTGTTTGGCAGTGTTTTATATATTGTATATTTTCCTTTTCATTTTGTCTACTGGCCTGCATTAGTCCTTGTCATTTTCCTGTTATTTCTGATACATTCCAAAATAAGATTTGTCTGTACAGTACCAGCACACTTTAATAAGGACTAAGAGCAAATGTGCATATTTCTCAGTGTTTTAGTCAATTTGTGTTGTACCCAAATAGAGGGAATATTGTTACTGTAGTTCTTGTCATTCATTGTCTTGGCAGCAAGTGCCACATGTTCAGTTATACAAACTTACCAAGTTACCAGTGAAGATCAGGGTCAGAATAGGTCTTCAGCAAACCATTCTTGCTTTAAGAGGTGACTATCCTTGTCATAAGAGGCGACTAACGCGATTGAGGGGTCAGGCTCACAGACTTTGTTAATGCATGTCATCGTATCCCTTTTGGATGGATTGATGCTCATGATGTCAATTACTGGATTGTCAGGTCCAGATTTCATTGTTTACAGGCAGCTGTCAAAGCACGAATATTGCTTAGTACAGCATTAAACAACAAACAAAGAAAGATAAAAGTTCAATTTTTTAAATAATCTTATACCCTAGTATTATAATGTGCTATTTTTATCGATTATTATGAATACAGACTGTTTGTATCAGTTTGTAAGAGACAAACCAAGATTCGTACAACTATCTGCACATGCTTGTCATAACACAATTAATACGGTATCTTCAGGTTATGTATGTTTGTAAAAAGTTTGCTAGAAAGTGTCAACTTTGGTTGTAAAATCAGTATGTTCCTCACGACAGAACTAAATGTGCACTACTTTGTTGTGGTATTTTTTGTTGAACTCGTCTCTGTCTTTCTCAAGTTATGTTTGTGCAAGGTGCCTACCTGTTTAGTTTAGACCTACATTGTAAATGTTGTGCACTAGACCATGGAGCCTGGTCACTACAGGGTTTACCCAAGCCTCTTAAAACTGGGGACAAATTTAATTTCTTATCTTAAATATATTGTCTTGTTTCTCTAATCATACTGTGAAAATTATGTTTTACGTACTTATCTACTCTCTGTGGAATTCCTAACCAATTAAATAAATATTTTTTATTATATTTGCAGATAACAAATTGCTATAGACAGAGCTCCTGATAAGCTTTTGGTGTTGTGGGTATTTTACCCATGCATTTTAAAATCATTGGGTATCAGTAATTCTATCTGGGTATTCAAATTTCTGTTACCCACTAGTTTTTACACATGTGGGTATTTAAGTTAAATATTTAAAAACACTATTCATTTAGTCCCTGCAAACTGGTGTCGTGTGGGTTCGAGAGCTTTATAGGACTCAAAAATACCACGATACTTCCACAAGAAAGTGTGATGGCAAATGATCATGATGTAACTGTCATCGTGGAGTTTGGCAAGGTTGACGGAATGCCCGTTTATAATTTCAAAATAAGTTGCTGATTTGCTAATCGAATACGCAGGGTTACTTCGCAATATTTTGATGATACGCATAAGTTTTATTTTTGTAGTGTATCTGTAATGTTCGTTGCGTATTTGATACGCTTGGATTATATTTTACTGTGTATTTCTGCATTTCTGATGCCTATTTCACGCAGATACGCAACTTTTCTGGAGCTCTGTATAGACTATTAAGGCAACTGCTATGTTATATTCTAACTCTTGACTTGATAATGGGACTCACCAGACTCTGCACTTGATACACAATGAAGTATCAACGTCTTTTCATTTCAGAATTGAAGTAGCAAGCGATAGCCTGTTGTCTGTTACTTTAAAGTATACTATAATGCATGTACTAATTCTTTATACTGTCAACATATACTGACATGATGCAAGTGTCCGTATAAACGAGGCACCACTGTAACATGTTTTGCTTGAGCAATTCTTCCTGAAAAGACCCCAAATTTGAAACGCAAGTCTAGTAATATTGTGCTCGATGTAGTAAGTCCAATTAATAATAGTCAATATGACAACACTAAAACCCTGTTCGGACTAGTTGACCCATCATTTTTAGGCACAGACTGCTCATGTAATTCAATATATGGTGACAATATTGCACGAGGTTCTGTTTTGTGTATTTCAATAACTTGCGCATTTATGAACTTTAACCTTAATGTAATCCTTTAATCCAGTGATGTTTTATTTTTACATTTCTTAAATAACCTACAATTGTTATGAAGCTGTCATTTTTTGTGTGGTCCCAGGAATAAAGTCACCAGAAATGCATTCAAAATTTTTATCTGATTTTGAGCATGACGAACATGGCAGATATGTTTAAAATGTTGTTTTCTTCCACTACTCAGACATTTAAGTTATTGTACAGTAAGTCGTCTGTAAAAACATGTCGATTCTTTTGTTTGCATATTTAGCTATTCCAGAACTGTTAGATGATATTAAATTTCCGTAGAAGGGTTTTATTTCCATCTATAATGTCATTATGGTATACCAGTGTGTATGACAATTGTTTTGAAATTCATCAATATCTTCAAATATGATCTATTGTATCCAGTGACTGACATGTTAGAAAGAAGAAAGTTAGGCAGCACCCAATCAGAGAGAGTACCATTAGACACATGTGATCAAGTCCAATTCAACACATTGCCCTTACGTATAATGGTCTCTGTCCAACATTTTTCACGGATCTCTGTGTTTGAAAACCAACTCATCCTGATAACAGGTTTCTGATTATATTGCCTATTCACTTACACAAGATACACAATTTTGAGTAATAAACAGTTGAATGTAGAAATCAGTTAATGTTGACAGGAAGAGAACAATCATTATCTTAGGGTTATGTTAAATATCATTAAGGCTTTAATGACTTGTTGACAAATAAGGAATACCGTATTCAACATAATAAGCGCCCAGGGCGCTCTCAAAATTAGAAATAGGGGGCGCTTATTAGAATATTATTTTGAGTTGAAAGATCGTAAATTTTGTGGTTTATGCTAACAGCCTGAAATCTTTACATACGACAGATATATTTTTCAAGAATTTAATTGCCCATAATTAAGGGTGATATAACACATGAGTTCGTATTTTACACAAATAAATAAGTCTTGTGTACATTCATCAATTGGAAGGGGTGCTGATTGGGATTGTTCACTAGCCAATATATTAGCAAATAGCCCCATGGGCGCTTATTAGATCGGGGCGCTTATTACGTCGAATGCGGTATACGCATTTATTCACATAAATATTCTGCCTCTGTGGTTTCCCTTTGTATAAGCATGTAGCATAGAATCTACCTTGCCCAGTGTATAATGTTGCTGCCCCTGTATTTCTTTTGGGTCACATTTGTGTCAGTTATTTTGTCTTTAGTTTATCATTAAATTAATCTACATATGAATATAAGTTGAAGTGCAAAATCATACATGTTTAAATCTAAAATCTATTTGGCAGGGGACGAGCGAATTTAATATCTGAATTAAAAAGAAAAGAAAAGTATTCATTAAACAAGCAAAAACACATGATGAGACATTTGAAATAGCAAAAGTAAACTTCACACCTTTGGAAAATAATTATCAATATAATTAATACCAAGTGAATATATATTAGACAACTACTTTCTCGAAACATTATTCATTATCATTATTTCTCATCCATTCATTCTTGAAAACCTGTGTGTTTCTGTGTTTTGAAAAGGTAGTCATAACATCCTTTGTTATAGCAGCGAAATGAAAGCATGAAGGATATATTTCGGATTTTACAAAAAGCTCACCTGTGTTATGTTATTAGGAAATATTTTTAGTATTATTTCTTTTAATTTTCATAATGATTGTGTCACTAAATAACATATTTATTCGTATTTCAATAATTTTGATAAAAAATCATGAGTAGGTATTTCTCTAGTTGCAACAGAAAACAATTCCTAAATCATGACAGTATTAATGCTGACAAAAATTAATGCCATCATTATAGTAATCGTTTCCTTCAAATAATTGGCACCTTTCTTGAAACAGTGCAAGGTGTGATGGGGGGAGGTATGTGTTGTGTGTCGTGAACAGTTCCACTTATTGTATACGCAGCGAGCTATGCGCGTTTGCAGACAACTGTAGACAGGAGTCGAGTTTAAGATATTCGTACTTCCACTGTTGAAGATTTCAATCTTAGATAAGCCGTCTTACATTCGTGCTAAGATGGGTTTGTGAAAGTGGCATAGGACAATTGTATGGTGATTGTAAAATTGATTGTAGCCGCCTAAGATTGATTGTAACTAAGATTGTTCTGTGCAACTAGGCCCAGGTGTCGGTAACTTTTAGGTGAGGTTAGGTCGCACCCAGTGCAGGTAACATTTCCAGCCATAAGTGGAAAACTGAATTCTTTTAGAACTGGCTGCAAGTCTTTTCGAATCCAGGAAACAAAAGTTCATGAAAGTAGTGAAATACACAGGTGGTCTGAATGCATTGAACTTGCAGGACTCTTCACAATTACCACTAGAACAGTCACTCATGAGGTTACAATCACAACAGACACTTTGAGACTTCTGTTTAAGGTTGTTTACTTGATATCATGATATGAAAAGGCATGTACAGATTCACACAAAATAAATTCTGGAGCACATTCTCAAGGGGTTTTTTTTCTTTGAATTTATTTAATATTCAAAATAACTGAAAATAAAGTGTTTCAATTTATGCTTAACTAGTGCAGCCAATATTTTGGTGGTGCAACCTGCTTAGTTCACTTCGTTGCGCCTTGTGCAGGTGGTAAGACCCTGAATTATAGACCAAGGCCCCAATGACTGTATGACTATGGAGTAGCATTGATTATCATTGTTATTTTTGTCATATTTTTTATTTCAGTTGGCACACAATAGCATCCCTCCTGATCAAGTGAAAAGGAATCCTATGACACCGCTTGATCTTTGTCTGACATGGAAATCTGCAAATCAAATAAGGTGGAAGAATAACATCTGGTTAAAAAAATTATGTGGAAAAGTCAGCGGGTCAGAAATCACCCACATAACTGCTGTTATCTGAACACAGTTCAGGTTTGATATCCATGAACTTTTCAGGTATTGAGGGGTTGTGGGGTCCAAAGTCATCTGAAAATTATTGAACACATGAATAATGGACATGAAATGTAAATTACAACATAAAATAGAATGGTCATGTGTGTAAAGACATGTCATGTTCAATGGTCACTTTCAAATTTATCTTCTTTTAAGGTGGTCGAAAATAACATGGCTACAAATATACCAACACACTTTTGTTGATATATTTTAACCAAATTCAGTCTGTAGATGTGTTATGTTCAGGTACCAAGCGCTGAAGTCAGCTAATGTTTGTTTGTATTAACCTTCAGTTGTTAAAAACTTTTACTTTTCTGACAATCCCAGCCGTGGTGTCTCTAGATTAATGTTCACAAAAATCAGTCCACCTTGGTGATTCTGTGTTAGAATAGGTCCACTGCAACCTATCCTTGTTATAAGGGACGAGTTAAGTGATTGGGTGGTCAGGTTCGGTGACTTGGTTAGTTGCTTGTTATTGTAACAAGATGACAGTGATAATATCACTGGTTTTTCCAGGCCAGACTGAATTATTTCCAGGTTATCTTCATATAGCTGATAAAATATATATGGCGGACTGCTGTGTTTAATAAAACTAAGACAATCACTGAAATCAGATCAGATTCTAAATATGGCCGCCATGTCAACCATATTGAATTTGTCAATGATGCTAAATTATATTACATTGTACTTTGGGGCATAGTATGATTTTTGTAACTGCTGTTACTTTTGTTCTTCACATGTGCCCCCTTATCTACATTTAATGCATTTTCGTTTAGTCCTTTTGGTTTTATGCATATACCGGTAAATTGGAGTGATGAATGAATTGGACAAAATATCAACACTGTAAATGGTGACACAGGAGTGTATTAAATGTTATGAATTTATCTAAGTGTTATAATAAAAATGACTTTAAGAAAACAGCCACATAAGTACCATTTATCAGAGCGGCAAATCAGTTCTAGAAATGTGAATTTTATTGGGATTCCAAACTGTATATTTGTTCAAGATAAGGATTTGAAATATCTGATGTTGGTTCTTTTTGTAATGTTGGAAGATAAACATAAATACAGTCATCCCTTGCTAAAACACCCTTCATGATACCACAGATTGGGTTAAACTTCAGGTAAAATATATGGGTCACATAAATTTAAATACTTCTCCTTTCTTCCCCCCCCCCCCCAAAAAAAAAACAACAACACATTTTTAAGCATATCAACAATTCTGCTCTGAATTTATGCAAGTTTTTTATTTTTATAAATGTTTTTATTGTTCCCAGAGTTGTAGATTAATACAGTATTCCGTCAAAAACATATTTCGGTTTGCATAGAATGGCACAATACACTCTTTAGAATATAAAAGGGTTGAAAACAAACATTGTCCTATTTCAAACCAAAATGGTTGCAACACACAGTCAGACTCAAACATATCATGTATCAACAGAGAGCTATGAATAAAATGCTGAGAATAAAGGTAACCATTTTTTGTTAAAGTTACTTTTGTCATCCTTTTTTATAGCAATAAATTTCTCGATTGAATATATGTTTTTAAACAATTTTAAAAGTATATCTAATTTTGATTTGGTTCCTTTAATTCCACTTACATGAATATGCCTTTTTCCCAATAAAACTATATGATTGAATAAAGTATTAGAGTAGTTAGAACCAAACCAAATAAGATATTTTGTCAATTTAATTTTTTGTGGAAGATAATTGTTAAGGCAAAGTTCGAGATCATTCCAAAATTGTTTAGTTTCATTACATTCCCAAAAGACATGGCTGACGTCCTCATTGACAGCATTACAAAAGTTACAAACACAGTTGTCTACAAGATTCATTGTTAATAGTTCCTTATTTGTGTAGATAATTCCATGTAGAAATCTGTATTGAAAATCTAAAAGTTTTACATCCTTCAGTTTATATCTATAAACAGTAAATATCGTTTTCCAATTAAAATCACAGTGAAAAATTGGTTGCCATTTATTACAAACTTTAAGATTATTTTCATTTGATATTAATTTATCATAAAAGATTCTAGCGCCTTTTACAGGCTTAGTCAGATCACTTAAGCAACTGTTTATATACAAATTCTGTAAAATAATTTTCTAGTTTTCTTGATTGTTATTTTCCATGATTCTGGTATATGCAATTTATGCAAGTTAGTCCTGTTGTAAGGATGCACAGATGGTCATGAAGAGTGTTCATTGTATACATCTAGACTTTGGACATATGTTTGCAATCTATTTGATTAAGTTTAGTCATATTTTTATTTGAAATACTATGTGCTTCTTAAAACACTTGCCTTCAAATATTTGTACTTATGTTTTTGATCGTGCAACTTTCTATGTACTTATCGGGTTGGAATGATCAAAAGGGTAGCAGTTGCTAAGCATAATGCCAGATAATAAATCTTGAAAGTGTGCTTTCACTAATTGTTGTATCAATAGGCAGAGAAATGTGTGAATGTAAAATATTTGAAATATTTCATTTGAGGTTTGAGATTAAATGCAAATTTTACAGTATTTTAATGTCCAGGTTCGAGATATCGTCTGCATGTCAATCTACAATGATGAGTTATCTGTTGTGAGCACCTCCTCAGAAACTACTGGACCACTGAAGCTGAAACTTCGCATTTGTTGATCACATCAGAATTTGTTCAAGACGTTCAAATCCAAATTCCAGTATGATCTTTGCACTTAAACTACACTGGTAGCTGAAACTTCTTATTGCCATTATTCAGTCAGTTTTGTACAAGTTCTAATGAAATTTGGGAGTAAAAAAATATTTCTGATTTTTCATAATTCATAATTTTGACCTTGCTTTAACCATGCTTTTAAATTCTATCAAAATGCATATTTGTGTATGTTATGGGATTCAAAAAATATTTCTGTTTTTTCATAATTCATAATTTTGACCTTGCTTTGACCATGCTTTTAAATTCTATCAAAATGCATATTTGGCAATGTAAACTTCTCTAAATTTGCCAGACTGAGGGAGCTGAATTTGTGCCGTGTGTGTTTCTCCTCAAGATGACAGCATGATTTGTTCAGATATTTTAGTGTTTTTAGTCCTCAGTATTTATATGGAAAATATAAAAAATATATATATGCAGGGTAGCAATGATAGTCTCTGTATAGTGGTTGTCTCTTTTGTCATTATAAAGTGTTGACTACATGTCCAGGTGAGCTACACTGTTGTAGCACTATTTTTAACCAGCCTATGGGCTATCATTACCAAATTCATTCACCTATCTTTGGCAAATATTGTAGCCTTATAGATAAGAAGAATAAAATAATAATCTGTATGTTTAAATTATACATTTAACTCGTTCAGTTTTGTTTTTTTGTGGTTTCAGATATCCGCTTTAATGAAGTCATGAACTGGACGCTGCGCTCTTGATTCCAGCACTAATATTGTCATGACCAAATGTTAATAATTTTCATATTCAGCAAGTTGAAGATGACTGACACCATCTTTAAGTTTCACAAATATGTTATTCAGAAGTTTTTTGTTTTCACTACTGATTTATATATAGTATTAAAAAATGGATTTCTGCAATAGAATAAAGTATTGAAATACATGTGATACTAGTTGTGTTTCCGTCACCATAGTGTGGATGTTTTATGCTGTTTGGCTGTTTGAGAGAAAAGTTGGCCTAATGGTCTAAAATGCTTCAACACTGCAGAGTTGTGTCGATTGGTTATGTGAGGATCCATTCTGATCACTGGTTTGGAGAATAGTGACCTAAAGCTGAACAGATGGACATGTGGCAGTGTGATTTGTAAGGGAGACACAAATTTATGCAACCACATGAGGTATTGTGGTGCTGATACGAAGGGTCGTATTCTGGATTTCAACCCATGACCAGGACATCCTGGCACTAACTGCACATCAGGTTCCATCAACCATGACAAGTGGGCCACCTGTGCACCCAAGTTTCTCTCACTCTACTTTGGCATAATTGCAGTACCATAAAGACAGAAATTAATAAGTAGGGTCTGTGTGGCTAAGAAAGCAGTTTCTTGTCACTTTTCAGCATGTATTGGGTAACCCTAGCACCTTGAGATACAGTAACACCTGCGTCTGTATCAGGAATGACCCAGTTTTATATCACAATTAGACATATATTGGGAAGGAACACTAACCTTAGAACCTTACGATTCTTCTGAGGGTTCTTTTGAGATACCGCAACAGCTGTGTCTGATTCCAGAAAAATCCAGTTTTACATCACTGTCGGACATGCATCTGGTAGAAACCCTAACCCTAGCACCTCATGATTCATGTTTCTGTTGAGATTTTGGTACATCTGCGCCTGATTCAAGGATAATCCAGTTTTACATCACTGTCGGACATATATTGTGTAGAAACCTTAACCCTAGCACCTTATCATTTATGTTTCTGTTGAGATTTCATAACATCAGCGTCTGTATCGGGAATAACCCACTTTTACATCACTGTCGGACATATAATGGGTAGAAACCCTAACCCTAGCACCTTACCATTCATGTTTCTGTTGAGATTTCATAACATGTGCGTCTGTATCAGGAATAACCCACTTTTACATCACTGTCGGACATATATTGAGTAGAAGCCCTAACCCTAGCACCTTATCATTCATGTTTCTGTTGAGATTTCATAACATCATCGTCTGTATCAGGAATAACTCACTTTTACATCACTGTCGGACATATAATGGGTAGAAACCCTAACCCTAGCACCTTACCATTCATGTTTCTGTTGAGATACGAAAACATCTGCGCCTGATTCAAGAATAATCCAGTTTTACATCACTGTCGGGCATATATTGTGTAGAAACCTTAACCCTAGCACCTGATCATTTATGTTTCTGTTGAGATTTCATAACATCAGCGTCTGTATCGGGAATAACCCACTTTTACATCACTGTCGGACATATAATGGGTAGAAACCCTAACCCTAGCACCTTACCATTCATGTTTCTGTTGAGATTTCATAACATGTGCGTCTGTATCAGGAATAACCCACTTTTACATCACTGTCGGACATATATTGAGTAGAAGCCCTAACCCTAGCACCTTATCATTCATGTTTCTGTTGAGATTTCATAACATCATCGTCTGTATCAGGAATAACTCACTTTTACATCACTGTCGGACATATAATGGGTAGAAACCCTAACCCTAGCACCTTACCATTCATGTTTCTGTTGAGATACGAAAACATCTGCGCCTGATTCAAGAATAATCCAGTTTTACATCACTGTCGGGCATATATTGTGTAGAAACCTTAACCCTAGCACCTGATCATTTATGTTTCTGTTGAGATTTCATAACATCAGCGTCTGTATCGGGAATAACCCACTTTTACATCACTGTCGGACATATAATGGGTAGAAACCCTAACCCTAGCACCTTACCATTCATGTTTCTGTTGAGATTTCATAACATGTGCGTCTGTATCAGGAATAACCCACTTTTACATCACTGTCGGACATATATTGAGTAGAAGCCCTAACCCTAGCACCTTATCATTCATGTTTCTGTTGAGATTTCATAACATCATCGTCTGTATCAGGAATAACTCACTTTTACATCACTGTCGGACATAAAATGGGTAGAAACCCTAACCCTAGCACCTTACCATTCATGTTTCTGTTGAGATACGAAAACATCTGCGCCTGATTCAAGAATAATCCAGTTTTACATCACTGTCGGACATGTATTGAGTATAAACCCTAACCCTAGCACCTGATCATTCATGTTTCTGCTGAGATACGAAAACATCTGCGCCTGGTTCAAGAATAATCCACTTTTACATCACTGTCGGACATATATTGAGTAGAAACCCTAACCCTAGAACCTTATCATTCATGTTTCTGTTGAGATTTCGTGACATCTGCGCCTGATTCAAGGATAATCCAGTTTTACATCACTGTCGGGCATATACTGAGTAGAAACCCTAACCCTAGCACCTGATCATTCATGTTTCTGTTGAGATACGAAAACATCTGCGCCTGGTTCAAGAATAATCCAGTTTTACATCACTGTCGGACATATATTGAGTAGAAACCCTAACCCTAGAACCTTATCATTCATGTTTCTGTTGAGATTTCGTGACATCTGCGTCTGATTCAAGGATAATCCAGTTTTACATCACTGTCGGGCATATATTGTGTAGAAACCTTAACCCTAGCACCTGATCATTCATGTTTCTGTTGAGATACGAAAACATCTGCGCCTGGTTCAAGAATAATCCACTTTTACATCACTGTCGGACATGTATTGAGTATAAACCCTAACCCTAGCACCTGATCATTCATGTTTCTGCTGAGATACGAAAACATCTGCGCCTGGTTCAAGAATAATCCAGTTTTACATCACTGTCGGACATATATTGAGTAGAAACCCTAACCCTAGAACCTTATCATTCATGTTTCTGTTGAGATTTCGTGACATCTGCGTCTGATTCAAGGATAATCCAGTTTTACATCACTGTCGGGCATATACTGAGTAGAAACCCTAACCCTAGCACCTGATCATTCATGTTTCTGTTGAGATACGAAAACATCTGCGCCTGGTTCAAGAATAATCCAGTTTTACATCACTGTCGGACATATATTGAGTAGAAACCCTAACCCTAGAACATTATCATTCATGTTTCTGTTGAGATACGAAAACATCTGCGCCTGATTCAAGGATAATCCAGTTTTACATCACTGTCGGACATATATTGTGTAGAAACCTTAACCCTAGCACCTTATCATTTATGTTTCTGTTGAGATTTCATAACATCAGCGTCTGTATCAGGAATAACCCACTTTTACATCACTGTCGGACATATAATGGGTAGAGACCCTAACCCTAGCACCTTATCATTCATGTTTCTGTTGAGATTTCGTGACATCTGCGTCTGATTCAAGGATAATCCAGTTTTACATCACTGTCGGGCATATACTGAGTAGAAACCCTAACCCTAGCACCTGATCATTCATGTTTCTGTTGAGATACGAAAACATCTGCGCCTGATTCAAGAATAATCCACTTTTACATCACTGTCGGACATATATTGAGTAGAAACCCTAACCCTAGAACCTTATCATTTATGTTTCTGTTGAGATTTCGTGACATCTGCGCCTGATTCAAGGATAATCCAGTTTTACATCACTGTCGGACATATATTGTGTAGAAACCTTAACCCTAGCACCTTATCATTTATGTTTCTGCTGAGATTTCATAACATCAGCGTCTGTATCAGGAATAACCCACTTTTACATCACTGTCGGACATATAATGGGTAGAAACCCTAACCCAAGCACCTTATCATTCATGTTTCTGTTGAGATTTCGTGATAGCAGCGTCTGTATCGGGAAAAACCCAGTTTTACATCACTGTCGGACATATATTTGGTAGATACCCTAACCCTAGCACCTTATCATTCGTGTTTATGTTGAGATTTCGTGATAGCAGCGTCTGTATCGTGAATAACCCAGTTTTACATCACTGTCGGACATATATTGAGTAGCAACCTTAACCCTAGAACCTTATCATTCATGTTTCTGTTGAGATTTCGTGACATCTGCGCCTGATTCAAGGATAATCCAGTTTTATATCACTGTCGGACATATATTGTGTAGAAACCTTAACCCTAGCACCTTATCATTTATGTTTCTGTTGAAATTTCATAACATCAGCGTCTGTATCAGGAATAACCCACTTTTACATCACTGTCGGGCATATACTGGGTAGAAACCCTAACCCTAGAACCTTACCATTCATGTTTCTGTTGAGATTTCATAACATGTGCGTCTGTATCAGGAATAACCCACTTTTACATCACTGTCGGACATATATTGAGTAGAAACCCTAACCCTAGCACCTTATTATTCGTGTTTCTGTTGAGATACGAAAACATCTGCGCCTGATTCAAGAATAATCCACTTTTACATCACTGTCGGACATATATTGAGTAGAAACCCTAACCCTAGCACCTTATCATTTATGTTTCTGTTGAGATTTCGTGACATCTGCGCCTGATTCAAGGATAATCCAGTTTTATATCACTGTCGGACATATATTGTGTAGAAACCTTAACCCTAGCACCTTATCATTTATGTTTCTGTTGAAATTTCATAACATCAGCGTCTGTATCAGGAATAACCCACTTTTACATCACTGTCGGGCATATACTGGGTAGAAACCCTAACCCTAGAACCTTACCATTCATGTTTCTGTTGAGATTTCATAACATGTGCGTCTGTATCAGGAATAACCCACTTTTACATCACTGTCGGACATATATTGAGTAGAAACCCTAACCCTAGCACCTTATTATTCGTGTTTCTGTTGAGATACGAAAACATCTGCGCCTGATTCAAGAATAATCCACTTTTACATCACTGTCGGACATATATTGAGTAGAAACCCTAACCCTAGCACCTTATCATTTATGTTTCTGTTGAGATTTCGTGACATCTGCGTCTGATTCAAGAATAATCCAGTTTTACATCAGTGCCGGACATATATTGGGAGAAACCCTAACCCTAGCACCTTATCATTCATGTTTCTGTTGAAATTTCGTGACATCTGCGTCTGATTCAAGGAT